CATGTCCTAATGCTAACAACTTTTCTACTGCTCTGCTTAGATATTATCACTTCTGCTTTACAAAGACCAACTCAAGAGCCCATTGTAAGTCAAATAATCAACAAAGTCTTCTAAAAGATAAGAGAAAGACTTGTATTGAACTCACAAACACACTTCCAGAAATAAATATCACTACATTCAAATACTAATAGACTGGTCTTCTCTCCCAGTGTTACATTTGAATAATACCTGGAGTTTTCTTTAGCATATGCTCCACATCACAGGAAGGATGAGGTTAGAAGGGACTTGTGGAGGCCATCTGGTCCAGTATCTCTCTACTCAAGCAGAGCAGGGTGCCCAGGCCCATGTCCAGTAGGCTTTTTTAGATCCCCAAGAGGAGATTCCAGTCTCCCTGGACAATCTCTTCCAGTGGTCCTTCACTTTCACAGCGTAGAAGTGCATCCCAATGTTTAGAGAGAACATCCTGCGCTCCAGTTTTTACCCATGGCCTCTTGATTTAGTGCTGGGCACCACTCAGGGCAGTCCAGCTCCCTCTTCTTTGCACCCTCTCCTCACATACTTGTACACACTGATGGGATTCCACACACACTACATCTTCTCCTTTCCAGACTGTACAATCCCAGCTCTCAAAACTTTCCCTCATACGAGCGGCACTTCTTTCCCTTCATCAACTTTATGGCCCTCCACTGGGCTCTGTCCAGGAGATCCATATCTCTCTGGTACTGAGGAGCCCGAATCTGGACAGAGCAGTCCAGGTAAGGCCTCACCAGTGTTGAATAAAAGGGAAGGATCACCACCCTCAACCTGATGAAGACATTCCCCCTCATGCAGTCCAAACATTAATCTTCTCTACCACAAAAACACATTGCTGACATGGTTCAACCTGGCATCCCGCAGGACCTTCAAATTCCTTTCTGCTAAGCTGCTTCTCAGTCCTTGTATGGCACTTGGGATTATTCCTCCAAGGTGCAGGACTTTGCATTTCCCTTCATTGAACTTAATATGTTTCATACCAGCCCATTTCTCCAGCCTGTCCAGATCCCTTTCAGCGACAGCACAAACCTTTGTTGTATCAGCCACTTGCTCAGGGTACGCTGTGCCCATCATCCAGGCCATTAAGGAGAATGCTCAAAAGGACTGAAGGCCAGCCTGGATCTGGGGTACAGCACTAGTTACAGTCCTCTAAATGGGCTCTGTGCCTCTGATCACAATCCTCTTAATGCAGCCTTCAGCCAGTTTCCAACCCATCACATCAGCTGCTCACCCAGACAGCATTTCATCAGCTTCGCTAACAGGATCTAAGGGGAAGACAGTGTCAAAACAAGCAGGTAACAAACATGCTACTTTAAGATTCCATCCTATAAAATGACAGGCAATTTCAGCAGCTTCCTGTTTAAAAAAATAAAAAAATAAAAAAATAAAGGTACAACAGCACTGCTTTACATTCACTCACCCCATTTGAAACATACCTGTTTTCAAATGTTTCAAGTATTAATTCACTGTAAGGTTGTGAATAAGAATCACAAGACTGTGTATATTCTCCTTCAACAGAATTTTGGAGCCCAAGGAAGTTCTGTGCTAGATGGTAAAGGTTTCCAGTGGTGGAGAAGCATACTCACATTTGAGAATTTCTGAAGCATGAACCACAGAAAAATCTTAACTCAGTTTCTGAAACCAACACAAATACTCTTTATTTGTGGGATTCCATTTTACATCAACACCAGCAAAAGACCTAAAAATGAACTCGTTAGGTGGCATAACAGCATTTCCACCAGTTTGTAAGTCACAGGAGTTTAGCACACCTTATGCGTGTAATACCCAAATAACTAAGACATAAAGCATTCACAGTTACAGGTTAACTGCTGTTCCAACAGCAGCTTCATTAGGAACTGCTTGGTGACAACACACATACATACACACACACGCACATATATAGAGAGGGGAAAAAAATAAAACATATTTTGGTCTCAGTTACAGACAATGACCTATTTAGTTGGTGAGTGGGTTCTATACACTTACATAGCAATTAGAATGGGTAAAATATAAGGCTTATAAAGAGGTATTTTAGCACTTATAATTAAAAGCAGGGCACATGGTAACCTTTAAAGCTGTCTATATGAATTTCAAGAGCATTTAACAACTTGTTAGACTTGTGACTAAGGGTCAACAGAAATCCAGGAGAACTCTCACATAACCCATTTACATAATTCCATTTCTTTCCCTCCAGAAAATGTAATTCAGGAATATTAACCAAGTAACAATGAGATAAAATCAATTTTGATTGTGCAAATATTATTTGTGTTAAAATAAAATGCATTTAATTGTGATAAAATGGGAGATGCCTCCAGTTCTCTATATATGTCAGAAAAGGCCACATAAAGTGACTAAAATATTTATTTTAGCTTAAAGACAGTCTTAAACAAGCTTTAACTGAAAGCTCAAATATATAAAGCATTTCAAGAAATTCCATCCTCCTCTACTTCTTTCTTGAAAACAAAACCTAACAACAACAACAAAAAATCAATAAGAATTAAAATTAGTATTTTAAGTTACAATATTTTTGCTGTATGATTAGATGTTCCTCAAATTAAATCTATGTATATTTGTTACTAATACTCTCTACAGCTATTTGGACAGTAAAGAGCCCTAAAAAGTTTGTTACCTATCAGCTCCTGTCTAATACTTAGTCTCTGGTTTCCTTTAATTAACTGTCCCTTCATTTTACATCTTCCAAGTACCAGGCATGAACTGCACATCAATCATCAAGTTTCTGCTACAAATGCAGTTATACTACACCAAAAGGATAAACACACGACCCGTGAACACATCTGCCAGAAAGACCTCCCAGTATTCATGAAATTAGGATATTCTGTATACTACTAAAGTGTGCATGAGGGGGGGGGAAAGAGGGCGGAGGGGAAGTACATCAACAGTATGATAATATAATGAACTGAAAAGGAAACACCAAACTCGTACTAAAAGCAAGGTAAATTGAGTGGCTTAGTTAAGCTTAAACAAACTCAGTTAAGTTTCTACAGTTATTTAAATATGAGAGAATTCCTTCAAAATGCAAAACCTTGCAGTGTTAGGGTTCTCTGTGGGTCAGAAAATACAGCAAAACCAGAAGGATGGATAACAGGGATAGTT